TGGCTACTCTGGGTTTTGTTCACCCGCTGCCACCTCAGGGTCGCTGGATAGAGACTGAATTGACGAGACCAGAGAAGACGCGAGAGGAGTCGTGGTCCCCGCCTCACAGGCGCGGGTGTGAGGCTCTGCGACACAGCCCAGATAACCTCCGCCAGTCTGCTCCTAGAGTCCGATGGCGGCGGCCTCGCCGAAAGGCCCGGCTGAGGTGAGTGCGTGTCCCCGGGGCTTCACCGCCCTCAGTCTCCGAACCCTAAACCTGCGTGCGGGCGCCGCTCACGTCCTGCAGCCCAGGTCCCGGCGTCCGGGCCGGTAAGGCGTGGCGGGTGACATCTAGGGTGACGAAATGTGGGAGAGGGTCACAGGCGGAGGGGCGCCTGGTTAGAGGTGATACAATGCACAAAGGCCCAGAGGTTAAACAGCCAGCGCCAGTCCTGGCCGGACAGGGGCGCCGGGAGGCCTGAGCCCCCTGAACCCTTCAGTGGTGTCGTTCTTCCAAGACTTGACTCTTTGCATATTCACATGGCTGCAGAAGTGCTGCTGGAACCACCGGGAAGGGGAGGACGTCCCAGCCCCTCACCCACACGTTTTCTGGTATGTGGTATATTCGGGTCCTTAAGCGCCATTTCCCCCGGGTTGGGGTCTGGAGACCCTGGAGAAACCCCAAGCCCAGGGTCTGAAGTCCAGGATCTGAAGTCCATGGCAAGGGTTAGATGAAGGTTTTCCCATTTTTGTCAGTCGATGTAAACAGGTGTGGAAGGTTAGTCCAGGGACAGGTAGCAGGGTGTGCACATGCATGAAGTAAAACTGAGCCGAAAGTGTTCAGGAAGCTACAGGTCTCGCCTTTTCTTGTGGTAACAAAGGGCAGCCGGGCAAGAGTCAGGGTTGGAATGACGGCCTGGGAAACTGCATGTCTGTTCTGGCGCTAATGAAAGATTTGGGTCAGAGGAGGGACGTGATACCACCGAGGTTCTAACTGGCTCTATCTGGCGGTAGTATGATTATAGATGGTGGGATTGAGGGATGAGGGAGGAAGATGAGGGTGGAGGCTACCGCCATAATTCAGTGGAGGGTTAATTGATCGGAGTGGTGGCCTAGGAGATGTGATTGGATTCTGGGTGTGTTGTTTAAATGGCAGCTCTTATTTTTCAGTGTGATCAGTGAGGGAGTGAAGCAGAAGACTTAGGGATATTCCTGGGTTTTTCTTCTTTGCAGCTGAGAGAATAGAAGCTCCATCAACTGAGATGAGGCAGGCGGTAGTAGGAGTAATATTCATGGGAGGTGTCTGGATCTTCTGAGATTCTTTGCAGAGCTCTAAGTGGAAGCATTAAGCGAGCAGCTAACTGCACAGGTCTGGAAATCTGGAAAAGGGTTAAGGATGGAGACGTGGAAAATGTCAACGCTACTGTGTGGGCCAGGGTGAATGAGTTGTCAGTCACGTTTAGGAGGAGCATCTTTCTGGTTATGGTGGTAAAGCTGTTAGGGTGCCAGGAAGCAGGATGGGCTTAGGGGCTCTCTTGCTTGGATACCTGGGTGATGGTTTTGGACTTCAAACAAAGGTGAGGGAGGTCAATGGCCACGGAGGACGAGTGTCTCAGGTGCAAAATAGTGTGGTGGGTGGCCCGGGTTTCCAGTGGAAGAGTAGACATGAGATGGGTGCAGAAGCTTAGGAGTGATTGAGGCAACATGATACTCATGATATTCACTACTCTGAGAACTCCACCAGGATTTTGTGAGGACTTTGTTGGGGACTAGGGTGTGTCATTCAGCCTGGAGAATCAGGTTATCTGTGACCTGCAGCTGTGGTCACCTGTGTGAGTCACTCAGCCTAGGGTGGGCCACCAGTGAACCGTATCTTTAAAGGAGGATTAAATAGAGAAAGGTTGTGACTGCTGAAGGGACAGACACGAAGTGCAGCACAAGCTGACAAGGACATTGGGTATCTGAGATCCACATATGGTTCTGTGTTATTAAGTCTGAAGCCAGGAATGGAGCCAGGCATGGAGGCCTTTGTAGAAGGATTTGGGGCTGCCACTGGAAACACTGGTAGGTCTAGGGTAAAATTGGATGCTGTTGTCCAGTTGTATTAAGGCCCAACATTAAAGTCCAGGATTATGTACTGCCTTTACATGTGATGAAAGCTGGAGGGACTCAAATGGCCTGAGTGCAAGTTCTCCTCCCCACTTTTCTTCCACTGATAAGGTCTCCTCGTCAAACAACCTTCTCATCAATGGGACCAGATACAGTTTCTGCTTCCCTCTATATGGATTTGTTTCCTACCAACCCAGAGTTATTCAGACAAGCCAATCATATTATTTCACGGGAACCAGGAGGTACCCCACCCTCTTGATCCTATAAAGCTTGCATCCTACAGCTACTGGTTGTTCACTTTTTTTGAGAGTGCAGCCTCCACATTGCCCTTATAGGTGTCCTCCTCCCAGGTTGTGAATCTGTGATTGATAAACTGCTGTTCATCTCCTCTGGAAAAGGTCAGGTGTCATGTGTTTGGCTATCCCTATAACACTAAGATGGGAATCCCACCCTTACTAATGGGGTAAAGAGGAGGTGATGAAAATACAAGTAACATGTGGGAAGGCCAGGGAGATTCCTTTAGTAGTGACCCTAGGCACATGGCTATGGGATCTACAGAATTATGTGTTCTTGGAGAGAGGGAGTATGCCTGATGACTCCAGGGCCCTGGTATCGAGACTTACATGGCTTTGACCACACCACACCAGTGGACTAGCCTGGCACGAGTAGGTGGAGCCTTCTATACCAGGTCCACAACTCAGATATCTGCTTGTCCACTTTCTCTTCTTGCTGATGGCTGAACCCTGTGATCATTGAACTTTATGAGGAGACAATGGTGCCAATGGCACCAGGGCCTGGTTTGCCCTTTGAGTTGGGGAGATTGGGAGGAGGATGGGCATAGGGTAGATGTGGCGGGAGAGATTATGGGTTCTCGGGAGAGGAGCTTTTTGTGGTTTCATCTGTCCCCATAATGCCAGGGCAGGGTGACCTTTGAGGACGTGACTGTTTACTTCTCCTCGGAGGAATGGGATCTCCTTGATGAGGCTCAGAGACGCCTGCACCAGGATGTGATGCTGGAGAACTTGGCACTTATAACCAACTTGGGTAAGGTCTTCCAACTCACCCCTGTGCTGTGAACTAGTCTCTGCCCTTCCCTTGTTTCCCAGGAGCAGGTCTGTCCTCACAGCAGGACCCTGGGCTCCGCTTCCTTCCCCAGTTCCCTGGTTAGGTCCCATGGTTGGTTGGGCTGAGGTGTGTGCACTGTCCTCTCCTTCCTTGAGCAGCCCCAACCCCTGCTGTCATGAAGATTTGCAGAGAAAGAATCAGGGTCTGGAGTCTTCCAGTGAACCTGAAGGACACCACCTTACTTGCCTTCTCCTTGACCAGGTGACTTTGTCCACATCCAAGGCACCTGTGTGCCCAGGTTCTGCTTCCTTCTAGCTGACATTTCCTCATGCTTGTCTGTGCCAGAAATTGCTATCACTGATATGGTTACTTCTTAAATAGACTGTAGGCTGTTCTTACAGGACCCTTTTCCAAAGTTCTCTGTGTAAATATTTTGTTTTCTTTCCTGTGGGCTCTCATGTGCTGAGTTGTTATGGGATAGTGCTGGCTGCTCATCTGTCCTGCCTTTCCCTTAGTACTTGTCTCATCAAGGTGCTATGCATCTGCTCATTGAGGGAGTCGTGTTGAGTTGGAAAGCAGTGATTTACAGGATATACATGAATCTGGCCACAGCAAGACGGGCTCTGAAGGAGCCTGGCCCTGAAGAGTGGCACCTGAACGAGGGCATGATGTCAGTGCTGCGTTCAAATCATACCAGAAACCTATTCTGTTTGAGTAATATTTTGATGCCAGTCGCCACACTTCATTTCTGTGTTTCCTTTCCCTTTCTTGACAGTTTGCCAAATTATCAACTCTACCACTTGTAACTTCTACTCTGACTTCCAGCCTGGGGTTAACCTCACATCTGAACTCTGTGTCTCACCTGTTTGCTCGGTGCTCCATCTGCAGTGCTTTCCATGTCTCACCTGTTTTGCCATCACTACATCTGCAGTGCTTTCTGCATCAGCCCCAGTGTATTGTTTTTGAGGTGTGCACATAGTCTGCAATAGTCCTTGAACATCAGCTGCCTGTCACAGTTGTATCTTCTGGGGTCTTGACACACCCTTCTACACTGAACTCGTGTCACCAACAGACAAGTTCCTTCAAAAAGTTGTTAGTGGAGAAATGAATCATGGACCTTGTCTTTCCTCTCTGTGTCACACTGTACAGTGGTGTCTTTTACCTCATGAGGCCTTTCCCATTTTGTGCTCTTGATAGCCCAGTACTGCTGTGCAGCCCCATCCTCCACCTGAAACAACTCCTTGGTCCCGCACACAATCACATGGACTGATCCTTGGATTCATTAGACACACACTTGCGCGGTAGCTGCCTCCTCTCACCAAAGGCAGCATGATTTCACCAGCATTTCTTGCTTTCAGGTAGTTGGCATGGGGCCCAGGATGAGGAGGCACTTTCTGAGCAGAGCATTTCTGTACAAGGAGTGTCACAGGTCAGGACTTCCAAGGCTGGCGTGTGTCCTCAGAAGGCCTATCCCTATGAGATGTATAGTGTGGACTTGAGAGACATTTTGCACTTGACTGAGCACCAGGGAACACATCATGGGCAGAAACTGTACAAGATTGGAGCATATGAAAAACAGTTGTATTTCAGTGCAGAACATCAGCATCAGAAGCAGCACATTGGAGAGAAACTCTTCAGAAGTAACATGGGCAAAGCCTCATTCATGAAGGACTGCAAATTCTGTGTGTCAGGGATGCCCTTATCCTGTGGGGAGGGCGTGAGGGACTTCCTGGCCAGCTCAGGAGTTCTCCAGCATCAGGCCACACACACCAGGGAGAAGTCAATCAGGAAAACTGAGTGTGGGACAGCCTTTCGCAGTGGGGAAACTCATCACAGCTCTGGAGAAGGCACAAAAGACTTCAGTTATGAACGCATACTTGTTCAGCACCAGAGAGCCCTCACTAGAGAAAAATGCTACATGTGCAGTGAATGTGGAAAATCTTACAGCAAAAGCTACAGCCTTAATGACCATTGGAGAGTTCACACTGGGGAAAAGCCCTATGAGTGTGGAGAATGTGGGAAGTCCTTTAGGCAAAGCTCTAGCCTCATTCAACACCGGAGAGTTCACACTGGAGCAAGGCCTCACGAATGTGACGAATGTGGAAAATTATTTAGCAACAAGTCCAACCTTATTAAGCATCGCAGAATTCACACTGGAGAAAGGCCATATGAGTGTAGTGAATGTGGGAAATCCTTTAGTGAAAGCTCTGCACTCCTTCAACACCGAAGTGTTCACACTGGAGAAAGGCCTTACGAGTGCAGTGAATGTGGGAAATTCTTTACCTACCACTCCAGTCTCATAAAACACCAGAGAGTTCACTCTGGGTCAAGGCCCTATGCATGCACTGAATGTGGAAAGTCCTTTACTCAAAACTCCAGCCTCATTGAACACCGTAGAGTTCATAGTGGAGAAAGACCTTATAAGTGCAGTGAATGTGCAAAATCTTTTAGTCAAAGCTCTGCACTTCTTCAACATCGGAGAGTTCACACTGGAGAAAGGCCTTATGAATGCAGCGAATGTGGGAAATTCTTTACTTACAGCTCCAGTCTCTTAAAACACCAGAGAGTTCACACTGGATCAAGGCCCTATGAGTGTAGTGAATGTGGGAAATCTTTTACTCAGAACTCCAGCCTCATCAAACACCAGCGAGTTCACACTGGAGAAAGGCCTTATGAATGCAGCGAATGTGGGAAATCTTTTAGCCACAGCTCTAGCCTCATTAAACACCAGAGAGTTCACACTGGATGAAGGCCTTATGAGTGCAGCGTGGATGATTCTTTATCCATAGCTCCAACATCAGTGACCACTAGGGTGTTCAGAGTGGAGAAGGGCTTTATGAGTATTGGAGTGTGGGAAATTATTTACCTTCGACTCCAGGCTCTTAAAACATCATAACGTCACATTGGATGAAGGCCTTATGACAGGCTGATGTGGGAAATAGTTTACCAAGGTCTAGCCTCATTAAACTCAAGAGAATTCCAATAGAGATAGGCCTTATTAGTGCAGTGAATGTGAGAAGGCCTTTAGCTGAAGAAATTAACTTCACTGGCTAGCACAGAGCTGCCTTAACTGCGCAGCTGTGTTTCTTTGTTCAGTGCAACAATACTGGAGGAGATCCCTTACAAAGATGCCTTTTGCTCTTATTGCATCTCATACATCTGAACATCCACATAAATTTCAGGTATGTGGGAACTGCATCGTACTTTTTAACGTGCCCAGGGCCATTGCCAGATTTATGTCGCTGCCAGTTCTATAGCAGCCATTTCAACTCGACCTGATTGGTGATCTCAGTGGGCAACATTTACTCATCCCATAACGTTCAGGGACGTAAACTTCAGTGTTCTCCCATTTGTGGGACGATCCATGAGTAGCTTCTTTGATGAGTTAGGGCATGGACCTTACCCAGTTTGGTCTAGAAGATTCTGTTAGACATTTGAAAAGATGGAATATATTTTTAAGGGATATTGTTGGTCTCACATGAGTCCTGTGATGGCATTTTTCAGTTTCCAAGTCACTAGCCCAGGGACTGTGCCTCCTGTTGCCCTTGTTTGTACAACAATAAAGGTTTTATGGTTTAAGCCACCATTAATCTTGGGGGTTCTATTCACTGTATGGGGTGACTTGAAATTAACTGGGTTTGCTAGCATGAAGGAGTGAACAGGTTTGGTTGGGATCCCAAACTTTATGTACCTCAGAGGGTACAGTGATGGCACAATATACCTCTTCGGTTTTGGCCTAGTTTGCATTGCATTGCCTTTAAGGAAAGATTGCAGAGCAGCTTTGTAGTCCTAATTTGTAGCTTGGATGCCATGGTATTTTGTAGATTCAGAGTTCAACCTGAGGAGGGGGTTGTTGTGACAACCTTCAGTGCTTCTGAGAGCAACATGAACTTGTGGAGACATTGCATCATGCTCAGCACTGGTGAGGGACCGCCTGCCCCCCAGGTCCTACAGTGGAGCCATGGGCTCTGATGTTCTGAAGTCTATAGGGTAACATTTGATAGCTTTAAGATTATAGGGACCTAAGGAATGATCATTGTTACAGAAACACTGGATTAATAGGAAGTAGTGAAGACTGACACAAACTGGTTGGCCTGTGCCTCTTTTAAAGGGGCATCCACAGTATTCCAGTCACAATGGCTGTGAAGGATGAGCAGGTTCAGAAATTCTCAGGCCCTCCACAACTGTATGTCTGTGGCTGAGGGCCCTGTTAGAAAATAAACTAAATGTTTTGTGGATTCCTGTGGCCCCTCTGGGCTGGCCATTGCTGTGCAGGAAAATGACAGAAGGGGAAGCTCAGCCCAGCAATGTGGTCTTTGTGACCCAGCTTATGTTCTTGTTGAAGAAATTGGAAACCACTTTCATTCTCACCTGTTTTTTCTGCCACTTGAGGCAGTGCCCCCCGCTCTCGTGAGGAGAGAGAATATGGCCATTATGGTTGCCAAACCGGATTTTCTAAAAAGTAGGAAATCCAGACTTTAATGTGAACCATATTTTTAAGTTTTAATGAGGTATAAATGACATGCAATAACCTGTCCATATTTAAACCATACAATTTTGTAAGTTTTGACATCCATATAAATCCATGAAACCATCAATCATAATAATAAATCCATCACCCCCATATTTACCTTGTGTCCTTTGATAATCTCTGACCTCTGGGCAGCCATTGATTTGTTTTTTGTTATAATAGATTAATTTGAATTTCTACCATTTTATATGATTGAAATTATAAACTGTTCAATCTTTTCCTTGGATTCCCTTATGTGACATTTTGAAAGTCATCAAAGGTGCTTATATGAGTAGTTCATTCTTTTTTTGTCATTTGGAAGTATATTACATCAATGTACCACGATTCATCTGCTTATGGGTATTGTTTCCAATTTCAGCCATTGCAAATACAACTGCTACAGAAGAAATTGTACACAATTCTCCATACTGATGTTTCCTTTCTCTTAAGACCTTGAAGTGCAGTCAATACCTGAATCAGAATGTAGGTAAATATGTAACTAAGAAATACCAAATTAAAAGGATTATTCTTTTTGTGTTCCTACCAGCAGTGTATGTGAGTTCCAGTTTTCCCATAGCCTTGCTAATAGTGAATATGGCTTTTACAATTTTGACCCTTTTAGTAAATATGTAGCAGTATCTCACTCTGGTTTTAGTTGCATTTCCTCAACATTTTGCGATGTTGAGCCTAGCTAGTATACAAGAAATATGGGAGAAGGGTAAGTGTGTTAAACAGTATAAAGAATCAACAAGCCAAATCTAGATTGTGGCAAATTCTAATGGACAGCAGTGTTAGCAACTTCATCAAGGGAATAAGAATTAAGTGATAATGGTACATATAGGTTAAAAGACTTTGCATTGATTGCAATCAATCTGCATTAAATAATGAATACAACTAACAAAATTCAGCACTTACAGCAACTTATCATAATTTTAAATATTTTTATGTTCCAAAGTTACTGTAGTTGCATAAGAACCTTTACATTTTAGAAACACATTCTGAAGGAGTTATGTGTGAAATGACATGTCTGGGATTATAAAGAAACCACTAAAGGCATGGGATACATGAAACAAGAATGGTATAAGATGACAAATAATGACAGAATAATGACTTCCTGATAGTCTTTTCCATGTTTAGATATATTTGAAAATAGCTCTTACAAAAGGTAGCATATATTCTGTTATGAGTAATTTTATAATGGTGAGAAGGAAAAATTTAAAAGGGCAGGAATAAACTTTTAGTTTTAATAGTATGTAAACATCAAAATGTATATTTTAAATATGAGCAGTTTAAGTCCATTATGCCTGAATTAAACTGTCTAAAAACCAATGTTCAAAATTTGTCAGTTCCTCATTTTTCCCCCATTTTAATAGATTTAATTTGTGTGTGTGTTGGGGGGTGGGGCATTTTCCATTTTATTTGAACTGATATACAAAAATCTTACAAAAGATTTGAGGGCCCTTTGTAGCCTTAAAATAAAAACAACTAATATCAACTATAGAAAGCTGGAATTGGAAAAAGCCTTTCATGTCACAAGGCCCATTTTCCTTCTTTTGCAGGTAAGTAAATTAGGGCCTAGAAAGGGGAAATAACTTGCACAACTAGTTAGCAGGATTGGAAGTAAAATCCAGGCTTTCTAACCCTCAGTCAAAAATTAAGAGGAAGGTAGAGATTTCCTCTATTCACCCTGCTCCCACACAGGCTCACCTTCCAACATATCAACATTCCCCTCACCCCACCCCCTGAGTGGTACATCTGTTAAAACTGATGAACCTGCATTGACACATCATGATAACTCAGTCCATTGTTCATATTAGGGTTCACTATTGGTGATGTACATTCTGAGTTTGAACAAATGTGTAATGATATGTATCTGCCTTTAGAGTATCACATAGAATTTCTTCACTGCTTTGAAATTCTTCTGTATTCTGTCCATCCCTCCCTTGTCCTTGCCTTACCTGGGAGAACCAGTGATATTTTTACTGTCTCCATAGTTTTACCTTTTCCAGAATGCTATATAGTTGGAATCATATAGTATGTAGCATCTTCAGACTGGCTGTTTTCACTTACTAACATGCACTTAAGGTTTCTCCCTTTTCTTTTATTTTTTTCAGATGAGGCAACCCTTGGTTGATCTCACAGATTGCAAGGACCTTGTCAGCTTACCACCTCTCATTTATTTATTTTTTATTTTTATTTTTTAGGTAGTCTCTCATCCAAGTACTAAACAGGCCCGACCTGCTTAGCTTCCAAGATCAGGTGGGATTGGGCTTGTTCAGGGTAGCATGGCCTTAGACTCTCCCTGTATTTTCGTGGCTTGATAGTGCCTTTCTTTTTAGAACTGAATAATATTCCATTGTCTGGATGTACCACTGTTAATCCATTCACCTACTAAAGAAGACATCTTGGTTGCTTCCAAGTTTTGGCAATTATGAATAAAGCTACTATAAACAATCACGTGCAGGTTTTTGTGTGAATGTAATTTTTCAACTTCCTTGGGTAAATACCAAGGAGCACAGTTGCTGGGTTGTATGATAAAGTATGTTTGGTTTTGTCAGAAACTGCCAGTGTCTTCCAAAGTGCCTGAACTATTCTCACCAGCAGTGAATGAGTTCCTGTTGCTCCACATCCTCACCAGCATTTGGTGTTTCCAGTGTTCCAGATTTGGAGCATTCTAATAGATGTGTCATGGTATCTCATTAAGGATTTTTGCATGAGAGATACTGGTTTGAAGTTTTCTTGTAATATCTTTTGGTTTGGGTATCAGGGTAATGCTGTTCTCTTAGAACGAATTAGGAATTATTCCCTCTGCTTCTATCTTTTGAAAGAGATTGTAGAGAATTGGTGTAATTTTTTCCTTACATGTTTAGTAGAATATACCAGTGAGCCCATTTGAGTAGGGTGCATTCTTGTGTCAGAACGTTATTAATTATTAATTCAATTTCTCCTTTTTTATTATTCTTGTTACTACTAATTTACAGTTTTTGTAGTTGTCCAACAGTTCTTGGGCATTCTTTGTTCTGCAGTCTTTTCTGATGATTGTTTTTAGTTTTGGAGGTTTCTGATGAGATGGTCTAAAGTCAGATTCTTATCTTAGCTGTGTCCAGTCTACTAATAAGCTCATGAAAAGGATTCTTCATTTCCATTACAAAGTGTTTGATCTCTAGCATTTCTTTTTGGTTCTGTTTTAGAATTTCCACCTTGGTTTACATTGCCTCATCTGTTCTTGCATGTTATCTCCTTTATCTAGTAGAGCCCTTAGCATATTAATCATAATTACTTTAACTCCCTGTTCTCATAATCCCACATCCCACCTTTATCTGAGTCTGGTTTTGATGCTTGCTTTCTCTTCTGACTTTTAAAACATTTTATTACGCTTCGTAATTTTTTATCGATGGTTAGGCATGATGTACTCAATAAAAGGAACTGCTATAATTAGTACTTTCGTTCTGTGATGTTAAGGTGCGGGGAGAAGAGAAGTATTTTGTGGTCCTATGATTAGGTCTCATATCTTTTTTTGCATTGTAATTTCCTATTTAGCCCATGAGTTTTTTGGAAGTGTATTTTTAAAGCTTGTAAGCTTAGGAAGTTTTGTTAGTAGTTCAAAGTTTTATTTGCTTTTATAAAAAAACTATTGACATATAACATAGGTCTTAGTCTATTAGTGAGTTAGTACTTTTGGACTGGACTTCACACATGCCTTTTCAGTTACCCTCTGCATCATGTGAGACAGGATGGCTAGAGTGGGCTGGAGTTGGGTATTTCCTTTCCCCGGGTCATTTAGGCTCTGCTTAGTTTCTTCTGGGGGCAGACTGTAATGAACAAATCTTTGGGCATATTTCAAAATAGTTCCTTTTCCTCTCTCCCTGCTAAAAGCACACTGGGATTTTTGCCCCATATTCACCGTGAGAACCAGGAGGGAGTCCAGGAGGGAAAACTCCACAAGAGTGAGGGGCTCTCCCCATGACCGAATTTCCCTGGAATTTTTATCTCAGATTTGTCCCCACTGAGCCTTCGGCACTTGTCCATTACAGTTCAGGTTTCCCAGCCCCGGTGCTGCTTCCTGTGGTGCTTTCATCTTGGAGGTTCGTACTTAGGTAAGTGGTGATTCTCTCTATTTGCCTCTCGAGATCTCCAACTTGGGGACAGTAGTTTGCCCTATGACTGTACTTTTAGGCATCTAACAAGTTTATTCTGTCAGTTTGTTCAGCTTTTTAGTTGTTAGGTTGGAGTGGTAACTTCCATCTCCTTATCTGCTGGACTGGAAACCAGAAGTACCCTCCTGCCCTTTTTATTTCATCCTTCTAACGAATGAAAGTACTGCTACAGTGACACTGTTAAGGTCTAAGTGTGTAACCCCAAAATTCACCTGTTGAAAATCTAACCCACAAAGGTGATGGTAATAGGAAAAGCCTTATGGAGTTGCTTCTGTCATTAGAATAGAGCCCTCATGAATGGGACCAGTGTATTACTAAAGACACTCCATTGAGAGCCCTAACACCTTCCATGTGAGGACATAAGTCTGCAACTCTAAAAAGGACCCTTACTTGACCCCATAAAACACATCAGCACACTGTTGTAATTTATGTAAGACTAAGGTTTCATTTGTAATGATTAAAACTTATAAGTTACATACACTGGGGTTATCAGCTAAGTTATTTTTATGAATTATTCTGTCTTCTTACTCAGTGTCTGGACATGAAGCATACTTCATTTTGTCTCAGCCCTTTCTTTCCTGAGCTCCAGTTTTCACAGCATCTTTTCTCTCTCTTTGGAATACATCATTGTGTCTGAAAATGTGTTTCCAAGTGCCTAAAAGAAATTACACATAATTCACAGTGTAAATGCTGTGAAAGGTGGACTTATACTTTTAAATGCTAAAATTCTCCCCACCTTTCCTTTAGAATTACAGCACCTATACCTACTGTCATTTATGATTTTTATTTGCCTTGGGAGGAAGGAAATACTCCAAATTGCTGAACCCTGATTTTTCAAATTGCCAATGACTGTCTCCAACAGACCCAGGACCTCCCTTACTCTAACTCAAAAAGGTGGTGTTTTTTTAAGTTTTTAAAAATTGTAAAACTACATGTCTTGAGGAATTTATTATTTTAGACATCTATAAGCATACAGTTTGGTGGTATTAAGTACATCCACATTACCCTCGTCATGATAACTCTTACTTTGATTTTTAAAAAGGCCCTGGATTCACAAGTTAGTTATAATTTACCCATTGAGAGCCTCCCTCATTCAGATGTGCCATCTATAGGGTTCAATCATGTTTGTCTATCTTCTTCTCTAGTGGTAAGGAGTTGGCACATGAAATCTCGAAGTGGCCAGATGATAACGCCATATATTCAAAATGACCTACATACCAAGTTGGCCAGATGTGTCCAGAAATCATTTAAGTTCATATGCCCCTGATGAAATTGTGGCTCCAGAAACCCTGGCATCTGTCACCAACCTCCCCCATGTTCTTCTACCCTTTACTCTCCTCTTTTGGCCTGATATCTTGCCTAATTGTTCACAGAAATTATTGCCTAATTGTTCACAGAAATTAGATCCTATCCAGCAAAAGCCAAATCATCTTCTCATCTACTGAGAAGAGAAATGCACAGGCCCACACCCATATTATTCTTTACTTCCCCCATCGTGTCTGAAAATGTGTCCCTCAGAAAAACGTGTCCCTCCTGTCAAAAGCCAAACCCGAGGTAAAAGACTTAAATGTAAGGAAAACTATTTTGCGCTACAGCCTCTTTAAAACACTACCCTCCAACAAACAGCAGGTACAAGGGCAAGATAACCAAGATGTCCTTCAGGAGGTAAACAGACACATGTACTTGCATGCATCCAGGTATTGAATGTTATTTGGTGCTTAAAAGAAATGAGACTGGTGAGGACCGTTAAATGGGTATTACTAATTGAAAGAAGCCAATCTGAATAGGTTACATATGTTATGGTTCCAACTAATATGACATTCTGGAAAAGGCAGCAGTCTGGGGAGGGAAAAAGCCCAGTGGGGTATAGGGGAGGAGCGGTAAATAGGTAGAGCATAGAATGTTTAAGGCAGAAACCATTCTGTGTGATGCTGTAATTGTGAGATTCGTGTGTCCGAACCCATTGGAATGTGCAAGGCCAAGGTTAAACCCTGATGTAAACTCTGGACTCTGAGTGATGATGATATGTCAGTGTAGATTCATTCATTCTAACTACCACACCACTCAGTGTAAGATGTTGACAGGATAGTGGGGAAGGGGAGGCTCTGAGTGTGTGTGTGTGTGTGTTGGCTGGGGGTGGGGGGGGGTGATAGGAGAATAGCAAAGGCAGAG